CCCCTGGCCTTTGCCCTTCGTATCTTGCGGTTGCCACCCGGGGTGTTGTGGGCACTCGATGGACAGGTGAGCGCCGCGGCACCACTCACACGCATGTGCACGTTTGGGCGTAGATGCGCAGATAGTGCCGCACCCGCCAACGTTGCGGCTGAACTCGAAACAGATCTCCGTGCCGTCGTCCATCCGCTTGAACCTCCCGTCGGCGGTGCGCTCGTTGACCCAATCACGCCACGACTTGCCAGGTCGACCCCCGCCGGAGCCCCCGTCAGAGCCGCCGCGGGGGCCCCCGCCAGGGCCGCCGCCACCAGCCGAACCGGTTGTCTGCTCGAATTTCCGCTTGGGCTGGCTGGCGTGGCGAGGCGTGTCCGGCAGCACGGACGCAGCAGCACCGCACGAAGCGGTCCGGGAGGCCTGCGGCCCCGCCAGAGCAGCTTGCCGACTGACCCAGCTCGGATTCTTGACCGACTCCGCCGAATTGATCCACTTCCGCGCCTGTTCCTTCAGCCGGTCCTCCCAAAACGTGAACCCCTCCACTTGATGCCCGCATACAACACAGAATTCCACGGCATGCTCGGGTCGAACGTGCTCACGCTGGTGTGCTGCCGGCTGAACTCCTCCTGCCGGCGGCGTTCTTCCACGCACCACTCCATGCGAAATTCCCAATCGGCCTGGGCACAGACCCACCAAGCCTCCTTGTAGTTCTCGCACAACTTGAAAAAGTGGGCCTTGTACGCGTCGGCGACGCCGCGCTCCAAGGCCTCCGTCATGACGAAGCCCGTGGTTGCGAAGTCCCACGCCTGCTTCCAGTCGTCGAGGTCCAGGGCGCCAGACATCTCGAACGGATGGTACACGCCGTCTGGCCCAAACCGGTGGGCCTTCAGCATCATGTGCCTCTGCCTCCGGGCGTCGAAGGGACCGAAGACACCCATGTCGAAGCCCAGCATGTTCCAGTCCACCGACTTGAGGCTGAGGAGGATGGAAATCTGGTTGTTGCTCGGATTCACGCTGCGCTCCGGCTCCAGCTTGTTGGCCGCAGTCCACTTGGCCCGAGCAGCCCGGATCTCCGAATCGGGGCGAGGCTTGAACACAAGCTTACACCCCTGGTCGAAGATCTCTCTGACCCGCAACGACACAGCATCCTCCTCCCCCTTCGTGGACTCCTCGGCAGCGGTCGCCAGCGCTCCTCCCAGAGTGGGCGGCGCTGGGGGCATGGCCGGGGCGAACACGTCAGACACATCCATGCCGTGCGCCTGGCAGAGGACGTTGACGAAGATGTTGATGCGCATCTTCACGACGGGCGAGGCGTCGCTCCTCCCGGCCGCTTGGACGAAGTCAGCGTCCCGAAACGCCGCGATAAAGATGCCCTCCTGCAGATTGTCCTCCCCCAGCGCCGCCGCCCATACCTTCCGCGTATCTGGCGAGAGCTTCGCGAAGTTGAGCGCTTCGCTGAAGTCCTCGTACGGGGAGGCATCCTGTGGGAGCAGTTTCATGAACGACATGGCACCTGCTGCGAAACCGGGGTGATCAGGTGCAGCCAACCTGAAATCAATTCCGAGAAAGAACCAATCTCCCCCAGCCTAACAAGAGACAGCCACTCTCGTCCCCTCGAGCCAAAATGGCCGCGGATTCCGTGACGTCCACACGGGTATCCATGACCTGACTGTCCACCCACCTCCTCTCATTCTGCCTCTGCATGTTGCTACGTGCATTCTGTACTACACTACATAGAAAAGTACATATGTTTATATCTATATATATACACGTATTTATATATATATATACAAAACATGTATAACTACAAATGCATGGACATGCACATATACGCACACATGTACCTATACCGTACAAATCCAAACACCGAAAAAACTACATCTACAAATAAGCATATCTATACATGTACAATTACATATACAAACACGCACGTGTTGCAACTCGAATCGACGATACCAACGACGACGCGCGCACGCCCATATTCTCATCCGTTTAGCCTCAACCGCCGCAGCCCCGCCCCCGCGCGCCCGAGCACGAAGCAGCGGCAGCAGCAGCAGGAGGGGAAGAGGAAGGGCGCATGGGAGAAGGACCCATGACGGAAGCGGAACCCCCGAAACCCCGACGGTAGCACCGTCGGAAAACAAGCACGCGCCAAGAACGAGGGGCAAGGAACACCCCCCGCCCAAGAACCACAAGCACGGGGCTCCTAGGACAAATGCTCGATGCTTCGCGCGTGTCCCCCGACACGCCAATGCAGACACGATCGGAGGTTTTCTTGAGGACTTTTGGAGGCTATCGTGAGCCATGTCCGGCTAGAGGTTGTCAGGCTACCCTGGGCCATGCTCAACTATCTTGGACCGTATTGCGGCTGTCTTGAGGCCTCGAGGAGGTGCGTCGGAGGCCGCCCTAACCCATGCTCCACCTTCTGGGAGCATCTCGGGGGTAGGAGGATGAAGAGGAAGAGGGGGGGGAGGGAGGAGGCTAGCTTAGGACAGCCCCGAGGGGAGGAGACTCGCAAGTCTGAAACAAGGGTCAATGGCACCCATCCGAGATGGACTTCTTACCCTGGAGGCCAGAGCCCCCAACACTCTGACCGGGACCAGCGACAGGGTGCCTGCCACGACCAAACACTATTCCTCCGCCCCGTGAGCCCGCCTGGCTCGCGCACACTCCGCGAGCGCAGCCAGCCGTCTCTCATACTCGGGGACAGCGGGGGCGCAGGAGAGGGCGGCAGGAACGGAAGCGCGGGCAAGAGTCTTGTAGCGCGGCTTGGGCTGCACATGCAACGCCGAGACTGATGGGCGGCTGCATCAGTGAACTGACGGACACGACTGCTGGGGCCCAGACCTCGAGAGCACTTGCCGAGTACTTCACGGCCCTTCCTCGCAGGTCTCTGGCAGACCTTATCGAAGCTACGAGAACAGCGTTGGGCCCAGCAACCACATCGAACACAAAATAAATCGCAAACGGTTTTGCTTGACTTTGGAGGGCACAGGGGCTCTGGGGTGGATTTCGTGGGAAGCAACACCAACGACGAGGTGCCCCATGGAACGGCGAACGAACTGACGAACGAATTCAGAGGCTGCACAGCAACCCGTAGCCTCCTTCGACGATCCCCCGCGGTTAATCATGAGATACTTCTTGCACTGTGCTCCGAGCGGCCCTTTCTCCCGCTCGTGCCAGCCGGGGGTGTGCTCGACAGAGCGGCGGCGAGCAAAAGGGCCGATCTCTCTTGGCTCTGGACTGAAGACGGGGAGCGCAGCAGCAGCAAGCTTAACAAACAATGGGACCTTCTTGACCTCATGATCTAGCCTGCTGGCCGCCCCTGGGCCTACAGGCTCACGGAGCTTGAGCGCCTCCCTCGTGTAGATATCGGCAGCACGGTGACAGCGGAAACACCAGCAAACACCCTGCTGGCACGCAGCCGTTCGTGCTCGGGTGACAATGCCCGGGCGATGGCTGCCTTACGGCCTGCGCGAGCACTCGCGCTACGATCGGCAATCTGACAGGCGACGGCTAAAAAACAATGCTCGGCCATGGCAGGAGTCTGCAGAAAAACTGCAGGCACAGTACCACGCACAACAGAGAGGGTGGCTTCGGTCTGGGGGTCGATCAGGATAACGGCAAGGGCAGCACGCTGAAACAAGGCAAGATTGGCATACAGCTGCTGCCGTCCACCGCCACGCGTAGCTTAGCTGTTGGCCCAGCAGAGGACGTGGCTTCTTAGGCTCAGGGCCGGGGAACAGCTCCCCATCTCAACTCAGGACGTGAGCGATCGGAGCTCCAAGCATGGGTTGGATCCCCCCTGGCATCACCGAAACCACACCTTCGCTATAGATCAGACTCTCAGGGCCCCCTCTCGCCTCCTCAACAAAAGACGCAGGGACCTGTGAAGCAGCAGGGAGGGCGCAACAATGTACAGTCTGTGGCGCATAGTATCAGGCACCCCACGCTCGCAGAGACCAACCCTGGGCACGCAATACCCGCTGGCGTGGGCGAGCTGCTCAGTCCATAGGCAGTCACAGGCAGCCGTTGGCAGTAAATATTTGTGATTGTTCGTGTACTCGTCCGCCTTGGCCACCAAACAACTCTTCACCACTTCCAGGTTCGCCCTCACCCCAACAGGTAAACCCCACCTCTCCCCCAACGCCTTCTCATTGCCGTCCTGGAAAGCAGTGCTACACATTCTACCCAGCATAGCTGGAGAGCACTGCGTGAGCTGGATAGTGATTCCATCCTGGTTAACCTACGCAATGGCTGAGGCAGGCTTCCACCTTACTCGGCAAGGCGGCACCCTGGAAATCGGGCCTCGGGTCTGGGCCCACGTGGCATCAGCCCTTTCGCGGGCAAAAAATGCGGCCCCGAATGCGAACGAGGTTGGACAGGCTGAGCAAAGCTACCTCAGGGGAAGAAACAGCTTGCCGGATCATTGTGCGCCAATGGAGCGCGGGCGCCATGGCCCCTCGCATGGCTGGCTTGCCGTGCAGGGCAAGCTTGGCACGGTGGCTGGCACCGCGCGTGGCCGGCGCCAGGCACGACATGGCCCGGCGGCAGCTCCACGTCATGAGCCCCGTTGATTTCCACGCCGTACTGGGCGGCCAATTGGACTCCAGCTACGTAGACACGTCCAAGTCGCCCATGATCTTTCTTCATAGACTTGAGCTCGGCAGCCTTGGACAGGCGATGCAAGGACTTCCTCAGACGAGTACGCTTCTTCCGAACAGCACGAAGACGGGCGCGGCGACGACCGCAAGCGAAATCCGCACCCAAATAGGAGACTGCCACCTTGGACCCGTCTTTGGCGAGGCCTGTCTGCTCGGCCACCACCTGCCATATCTGCGCATCACTTGCCGCGATCGCAACCTCGTCGCTGAGCGTCGCCTGCAGCCGCTTCGACGACGCCTGGAGTTGGATGCCAGCAGCAACGGCATCTCCAATCACTATCTCACGATCTTTCCAGCCCGCACGCGCCCCTGTATCACCAGTAAAACTCATGAAATCCACCTGCGGGTTGCGCCAGGCGAACGAATCGTACTCAGTGACGTCGACAGCACGAACCGCCACGCCAGCGACTGCACAACATGCCGGTAGTCCAAAGGGCGCAGAGAGCTCACGGCCACTGCGGGGACGCCCACAGCGAACGATGCGAGGGGCCTGCCACGCGTTGAACACCAGGCATGAGGACAGGCACCGGCTTCCGGATGCGAGCATTCCTTCATAGAACTTGCGATGGTCCATCAACAGCAGGAGACTGTGTCTGCCCTCACTCACCTCGGCCTCTTTGCGCGCTGCCTGAAGCCACGAAAGGTCCAGAGTACTTCTGCCAGCACATGCTCCCCAATATGGACGGTAGAGTCAGCGTTGAAAGTCCGCGAGGTCACGACGCCGCATCCTCTGCCAAGCGCGGTATAGATCTGAATACCGAATGATGAAGCGATGACGAATGATGAGGCGATGAGGCGATGGCCAGCATCGGCTTGACAGTAAAACAAAGCTGCAGCGGAAACAAGCAAATGCGTCCGCAGACCTCAAACAGCGCCGCCACGGTCTCAAATCCAGGGTCAGGAATAAAGCCAAACTGCCGAGGGTGAATGCGATCGATACTTGACGCCGTGGCACGCGCGAAACCGTTGGCCACCTTTCGAATGGCACGACAATTCATCCTCGGCAAAACAGAACGGTTAGGTGACCAAGCTTGATCAGGCACCTGGCTAGCACGCCACAGCTTCTCATACTTACTTACCTCTGCCTCCACAATATCACGAGGGTGAGCTGACGAACCACCCCCCTTGCGAACGGCAGCGGGGCGTGGAGCACCAGGAACTGCAGTTGGACGACGAAGGCCTCGGCTGCCACCAGCTGCCGCAGAACCACGCCAGCCTTGCCACCGTCGACGATCACCATTGACTTCGCCCAGCCCAGAGCGGTGAAGTCACCAGCAATATCAGGACAAAACTGATCCAGAATACCTGCAGCAACATGGCAGTCACTGCGGAGACGCGGGGCCCAATTGGCCGCAAAGCCACCACCATCCACGACCGCGATGCTCTCACCATTCGGCTGCTCTCGTCTTGGCAACTCCCCCCCATGGGCCAACTTCTTCGGCCCCGAACCCCGATCCAGGCGTTGCGAGCCAGATCCATCAAGGGGAGCCCGCACAGTCGGGCCAATGTCGCCCTGCACTTCGGCCCCAATCTTCGACCTAGGGCCTCCTGGATCATCTCGAGCAGCCCAGGGGGGCGGAAAGGCGCGCGGCCTGACTCCGACGTTAGATCCACCTATTTGCGGCACCCCAGCTGAAGACGACGGCGCGTCTGACGTAGACAAACAAGCAAAGTGATAACTACCACATGCCATCAGCCCAGCACGATGGCCCCGGTCATGAAGTCGCTGAGGTAGACTGGGGGGGTCACGAATAGGACCACCAGCTCCGAGCAGTCGGCGAAACATGGATCGGGCATCTCCCAGTGTACGCCTGCGTCGAGATTCAAGACGCCGGCGCGCATCA